CGCCGAGTGCGAGTGGGACGGGCTGGACTGCGCGGAGCACGTGCCCGAGCGGCTGGCAGCCGGCACGCTGGTGCTGGTGGTGCTCATGCCGCCCGAGCAGCTGCGCAACCACTCCCTGCACTTCCTGCGCGAGCTCAGCCGCCTGCTGCACACGAACGTGGTCTTCAAGCGCGACGCCAGCGGGCAGCAGATGATCTTCCCCTACTACGGCCGCGAGGAGGAGCTGCACAAGCACCCCATCAAGCGCTCTGTGGATGGCGGGGCTGTGCCCGGCACTCTGCTCGGCCACATGAAGGCCACGCTGCTCCCAGGGGGCGGGGGCGGGCGCCGGCGCAGGGAGCTGGATCCCATGGACATCCGAGGGTGAGTGAGCTCCAGCGCGTCTCCCCGCCCAGCCCCGGCGAAGGCCTCCCCGACCCTCAGGGCTGCCCCCGAAGGAGGAGGTACGCTCTCCACTCGATGGTGAAGGAGACCGAGGTTCCGAAAGGACCCAGGACTTGCGGGACCTGTGATGGGCAAGGGGCAGAGACAGCATTCCCACCGAGGGCTCTTGATTCCACAGCCCTTGCCCTGGGGCCTGGGATCATCTCTTGGGGGAGGATCGGGCCTTGAGATCTCTGTCTTTCTGAGATGAGGAAGAGGGATGTTCAAGGGACCCACAGGGCCAGGGAGGGAGAGCACTTTGAGGGGTGTCCATGATGAGCACCTGAGTGGGCCCAGCTAGTGCTGGTGCTGGACGCGGTGGGCAGCAGGGGCCCTGTCCACCTCCTGGGTTGTTTCCTGTCTAGACCCAGCTCCCTGCCACCCCTCGGGTTCTGGGAGCATCTCTCCCCCAACTCACTGGGGTGATGCCATGGGGGCAGGACCGGTCCTCCAAGGCAGCTCGCTGGGCGGGCGCAGGGAGGAGGCTGGGTTCTGAGCCCCCTGACCTGGCCGCGTCCCCCAGATCCATCGTCTACCTGGAGATCGACAACCGGCAGTGTGTCCAGTCATCCTCGCAGTGCTTCCAGAGCGCCACGGACGTGGCTGCCTTCCTGGGCGCGCTCGCCTCACTGGGCAGCCTCAACATCCCCTACAAGATCGAGGCAGTGCAGAGTGAGTAGCCCGCCCCGCTCGCCCAGCCACACGCCCTCGGGCGCTGTTTGCTTGTGTTTGGAGAAATCCGCCTGGGAGGGGCTGAGTCTCCCAGTGACCCCCACCCCAAGATGCTCTGTGTGCTGTTTGCCACCCACGGGCGCGTGTCATGCCATCCAGAGTTTGGGAAGCGCGTTTCTGGCATTTTCTGCCTGGCATGCTCCCCCTACCCACAGTGACAGCTGTCTGCAAGGCTGGCCCAGGGGAACCCGCCGGGAAGTGGGGGCCTTTTCCCTCCCCACCCCTTCTCCTGATTTTTCTTTGTTGGGTATTATTTCAAATTCATTACAGCTTTTTTTTTAAAAAAAAAAAAAAGGAGAGAGGGAGAAGAATTGATCGGTGTCATGTGAAGTGTTGAAGTTTGTATCTGGAAAATCCCCCTAAATCCTTTGTCTTAACAGCTCAATGTGAGTGCAGTGATTTGAAGTCGACTAATCCTCCTCCCCTTAAAGGAGAAAAAAGTGAAAGCCGGCTCCAGATAGCCCGCTGGTGCAGGAGAGAATTTAGCGATAGTTTGCAATTCTGATTAATCGCGTAGAAAATGACCTTATTTTGGGGGGCGGGATGGAGGAGAGCGGGCGAGGAGGCACTGGCCGTGGAGCCAGCGTGCTGCCCCCCGGCCGCCAGCCTGCCTTGTAGCGCTGCCTGAAGTCCGGGCGCCTGCCCGCGGCCCCTGTGCCCGCAGGTGAGACGGTGGAGCCGCCCCCGCCCCCGCCGCTGCACTTCATGTACGTGGCCGTGGTCGCCTTCGTGCTGCTCTTCTTCGTGGGCTGTGGGGTGCTGCTGTCCCGGAAGCGCCGGCGGCAGCATGGCCAGCTCTGGTTCCCCGAGGGCTTCAAGGTGTCGGAGGCCAGCAAGAAGAAGCGGCGGGAGCCCCTCGGCGAGGACTCCGTGGGCCTCAAGTTAGTGGACGCTGTGGGCTTGCGGGAGGTGGGCTGCCCTGCAGACCCCGTTCTCCCCAACAGGCTGCCTGAGCCGCGGTCTCGGGGGCTTTCTGGGGAGCCCTGCTCAGTCCCGCTTCCCTGACCCTCCGCCCCCAGGCCGCTGAAGAACGCCTCGGACGGCGCCCTCACGGATGACAACCAGAATGAGTGGGGCGACGAGGACCTGGAGACCAAGAAGTTCCGGGTGCGTCAGGGGGCCCCAGCGCTTCCCCGGGCCCCGCCTACCCTGCCTGGGCCCGGCACGATATGCTTCTCTGCTTGACCCCCTTCCTTAGTTCGAGGAGCCGGTGGTTCTTCCCGACCTGGACGACCAGACAGACCACCGGCAGTGGACCCAGCAGCACCTGGATGCAGCCGACCTGCGCGTATCCGCCATGGCCCCCACGCCACCCCAGGGCGAGGCTGATGCCGACTGCATGGACGTCAACGTCCGCGGGCCAGGTAGGTGCGGCCGGACCCCTACTCTGCCCCCAGGGGCTCCCCGCCGGGTCAGTCTCCTCAGGCAGCCTGCGCTTCCCTGACCTCATGATCCACCTGTCTCCCGCCCCTGAGCGCTCGCAGTCGGTACCTGGAAGCTTAGCCAGGAGGGGCAGCGTGCTCCGAGGTCTCAGCGGGATGGGAAGTCCCAGGAGTCTCGCTGCCTGTTCACTGGCTCCCTCCTCGGGGTGACTGTCCAAGCTCACTCTGCCCTCCAAGTTGATTTCTTCTCCCAAAACACTCCTTTTAAGACACTCAAACTGTTGGTTTTTTAACCACCCATCTCTCACTTCGTCTTTCGCCTGGACGCGTTGTTGGTGAAGATCTTGAACAGGTCAGAAAGCAGAGCCTCGAGGTCCCTGTTGCCCACCTGCAGGCTGGCCACTGGACTTGACTGGGAAGCTTGGATTGATTCCGTTGGCCCCAGGCAGCATGGCCTTGTATGCAGGGCCACCATGGGCCACATGTCCACAGGGCTGCCCACCAACCGAGGGCCGTTGTCACTGCCCAGAGCAGCTGCTGAGGGCTGGCCTTTCTGACCAAGCCCTCGCCCTTGTCCCGGCCTCCCTGCAGATGGCTTCACACCCCTCATGATCGCCTCCTGCAGTGGAGGGGGCCTGGAGACAGGCAACAGCGAAGAGGAGGAGGACGCACCGGCGGTCATCTCCGACTTCATCTACCAGGGTGCAAGCCTGCACAACCAGACGGACCGCACCGGTGAGACCGCCCTGCACCTGGCTGCCCGCTACTCGCGCTCCGACGCGGCCAAGCGCCTGCTAGAGGCGAGCGCTGATGCCAACATCCAGGACAACATGGGACGCACCCCACTGCACGCAGCTGTGTCTGCTGACGCCCAGGGCGTCTTTCAGGTGGGCAGCCCGCCCACCTCCCCTCCTCCTGAGCAGGGGCAGCTGGTGTCCTTCCTCTGCACTTGGAAGGAGGCACGAGGCCAGGAAGGGCATTAAACCCCACGCGTCTTCCTCACAGGGAAGCCAGGCAGTCCAGCAGGAGGCCAGGGGGACCTGCAGGGGGCAGGGCCTCCCCGCCTCACCCAAGACAGGACCCCGATGTCCCTCTGCGTCTGCCCCTCACGGCCTTGTTCCCCACTCTGCTTTGGCCGCAGGCATTGCCTCTGGCATTGGGGCAAAGGGATGTAGGCTGCTACTTGCAGCCTGCAAACCTGGGGCTCTGGCCTTGCCGAGGATCCCAAGACAAGGGGGAATTAGGGACTTAGATGCCTGGGTCTCTGGGGACTGTCCTTGGCAGAGGCTCCTTTTGAAAGCTGCCAGCCAGTCCCCCTGCCACAAACCCCCAGGCTCTGGGCAGCGCTGCTCTGCACAGACGGGCAGGTAAATGGGGCACAAATGGGGGAGTTTTATAGGGATTTATTAATTCTTAACATGTCCTTCTATGAAAATAAGAAATTTTTTGTTCTTTTTAAATGGACGTGCTGGGGATTGAACCTAGGACCTCATGCATGCAAAACACGTGCTCTACCACTGAGCTACACCCACCTGACTGCCCCCTATTCCTGGGGAAATAAGAAACTGAGAACAGTCTAACAAGCTCCTGGAGGCAGGCTCTGGCCATGGTGGCACTGATGGCCTTCCTGACACAAGGGTACCTAAGTTCCCACGGGTGCTTTGCAGGAGTTAAGTCCAGTCCTGCACTCAGCTTGGCCCCCAGTGGAGTTCTTCCCTCCCTGTGCACCCACTCCCCACTGTCCAGCCTTGCTGGGGCCATTCAGACCTCCGGACGGGCTGCTTCCAAGTCCAGGATTGGTTCCCAAGAACATGTTCCCGGCGGGGGCCTCAGGCTCACATCTGCTAAGGCTGAGACCTTCCCTGTCATCTAGATCCTCATCCGGAACCGAGCCACCGACCTGGATGCCCGCATGCACGATGGCACGACTCCGCTCATCCTGGCCGCCCGCCTGGCTGTCGAGGGCATGCTGGAGGACCTCATCAACTCCCATGCCGACGTCAACGCTGTGGACGACCTGGGTGAGCCGGCTGGGCCCTGGCCACGGGGTGGGGTGTGGGCGCCCACGGCCACCTGCTCTTCCCAACCCCCTCTGCGTCCCCAACACAGGCAAGTCCGCCCTGCACTGGGCCGCCGCCGTGAACAACGTGGAGGCTGCGGTTGTGCTCCTGAAGAACGGGGCCAACAAAGACATGCAGAACAACAAGGTGGGTGGGGGGCACTGGCTGGTGAGTCACTTCCCCTAGCGCCCTTCCTGATCGTGGGACGCCCCCAGGCTGGTGACTTCAGCTCCAGGAGAACCTCTGGGCACTCAGACGCAGGCCCCTCAGCGGGGTGCCTTGTGTCGTGGGCTCTCTCCCTTCATTTCGTATCTGCAGGTCCCCTCCCAAGCGCGGGGCGTGGGTCCCAGCAGTGGATGGGTGGCTGCAGCTGTCCTGTCTGTGTCTCTGTGACCTGGACCTCATCCTCTGTTCTTGGCTGTCACCAGGCAGGGCGGGGGGTGACCCAGATGGTGCAAATTGAGCTGAGGCTGGTGGGGGTGGGGGGCTCTGCGTTCTGAGGGCCTCAGTTGGAAATGCAAGGGCCGCCTTGCTGCACATGGACTAGCCTCTTGTCTTGCTCAGCATCGCCATGATCTGTCCCTGAGGCTAAGGAAGCTCTTCCCAACCCCAGTCTGACCCCGCATCTCCTGAACCTACCTTGGATTCCTCTGTGTGCCAAGCCCCACCCCACACTTCACTGGCCTATGGCTGCATTTCAAATGGGTCTCCCTCTCACCTGGGTGAGGGAACACTGAGTGCCCAGTGGGGCTGAGGCATGATCCCACCTCCTCCTGGGGAGGCTGAGCCTCAGAGACGGAGGGTCTGGCCAAAGGGACTGCCATGGTATGGCAGCAGCCGTGGCCACGGCCTTGTGTGTACCAGGCAGACACCATCGGGTCTCACCCTCCGCACAGCAGCCTGGCAGGGATACGAGGCATGTCTGCTATGCAGATGAGGAAACTGAGACCCAGGGGGGGAGCTAAGATGTCAGTGTCCCTCAGGGACCATCCAGTGCCCATAGATGCTCAGAGCCCCACGTCCCTGAAATTGCGGCCATACTTGCATCTGCGCCATCTTGGAGGGAGGGAAGAGGGGCCACGGCTTAACTTTCCAGTGGAGTCTGCGACCCTACAGGGCAAAGCCTTACTGATTAAGAATATAGGATCCCACAGACCACCTCTGGGTGGGTCTTAAAAGATGTAGTTAAGGTGTTTAAGGCTTTTTTTTTAAGACTTAACAGTCCAGGTAGAACACTGGAGAGGGTCCACAGCAGGGAGGTGGGGATCAAACTGCTGGTTCCTCTAGTGACAGGGCATTGATGGACCACTGGTCAGGGGACTCCAGGGACGGGGTGAGGAAGGGGTGCTCAGGCACCTGCAGCTGGTGGCTGGGCGTGGTGTCCACAGGCGAGGAGGAGTAGCTGTGCTGCGAGGGCAGCGTCAGGAACTGGGCAGTGGTCATGGGTGGGGTGACCATGATGAGGGTGACCCGCTCACCTGCTCCCTGTCCATTCCCCCAGGAGGAGACGCCATTGTTCCTGGCCGCGCGGGAGGGCAGCTACGAGACCGCCAAGGTGTTGCTAGACCATTTCGCCAACCGGGACATCACAGACCACATGGACCGCCTGCCTCGCGACATCGCACAGGAGCGCATGCACCACGACATCGTGCGGCTGCTGGATGAGTACAGCCTGGTGCGCAGTCCCCAGCTGCACGGCACCGCCCTGGGTGGCGCGCCCACCCTGTCTCCCCCACTCTGCTCACCCAACGGCTACCTGGGCAACCTGAAGCCGACAGTGCAGGGCAAGAAGGCCCGCAAGCCCAGCACCAAGGGCCTGGCCTGCGGCGGCAAGGAGGCCAAGGACCTCAAGGCGCGGAGGAAGAAGTCCCAGGACGGCAAGGGCTGCCTGCTGGACAGCTCGAGCGTGCTGTCGCCCGTGGACTCCCTGGAGTCGCCCCACGGCTACCTGTCAGACGTGGCTTCCCCACCCCTCCTGCCCTCCCCTTTCCAGCAGTCTCCATCCATGCCCCTCAACCACCTGCCTGGCATGCCTGACACCCACCTGGGCGTCAGCCACCTGAGTGTGGCAGCCAAGCCCGAGATGGCGGCACTGAGCGGGGGTGGCCGGCTGGCCTTCGAGGCGGGACCCCCACGCCTCTCCCACCTGCCTGTGGCCTCCAGCACCAGCACAGTCCTGGGCAGCGGTGGTGGCGGCGCAGCCGTGAATTTCACTGTGAGTGGGGCCACAGGCTTGAACGGCCAGTGCGAGTGGCTGTCACGGCTGCAGAATGGCCTGGTGCCAAACCAGTACAACCCATTGCGAGGGAGTGTGGCACCCGGCACCCTGAGCACACAGGCCCCCGCCCTCCAGCACGGCATGATGGGCCCGCTGCACAGCGGCCTGTCCGCCAGCGCCCTGTCCCAGATGATGGGCTACCAGGCCCTGCCCAACACGCGGCTGGCCACCCAGCCCCCCCTGGTGCAGACACAGCAGCAGAACCTACAGATGCCACAGCAGAGCCTGCAGCCTCAGCAGAGCCTGCCAGCGTCCAGCATCCAGCAGCCACAGAGCCTGCAGCCGCAGCCACCACAGCCACTCCTCGGCGTGAGCTCGGCTGCTGGCAGCCACTTGGGCCGGAGCTTCCTTGGTGGGGAGCTAAGCCAGGCAGATGTGCAGCCCCTAGGCCCCAGCAGCCTGGCGGTGCACACCGTCCTGCCACAGGATGGCCAGGTCCTGCCCACATCACTGCCGTCCGCGCTGGCCCCGCCCATGACCACTGCCCAGTTCCTCACGCCGCCCTCCCAGCACAGCTACTCCTCCTCGCCGGTGGACAACACACCCAGCCACCAGCTGCAGGTGCCTGAGCACCCCTTCCTCACCCCGTCCCCAGAGTCCCCTGACCAGTGGTCCAGCTCATCGCCACATTCCAACATCTCCGATTGGTCCGAGGGCATCTCCAGCCCGCCCACCAGCATGCAGTCCCAGGTCACCCACATTCCGGAGGCGTTCAAGTAAACAGCCGGCCGCCCAGAGGGACCCTGCTTCCTTTCCCAAGCCCTGCTGGGGCAATTGCGTGCGCTCCATGGATGCCGCGGCCGACCAAAGGAGGTTTTTTTCAAGAAACGTGTTTTTATACAAAATAAGAGAACAAGGATTTTTAATTTTTTTTTTAGTATTTATTTATGTACTTTTATTTTACACTGAAACACTGCCTTTTTATTTATATGTACTGTTTTGTATGGCAGCAGGTAGACTCTTATCTGCTCCAAGAAAATAAACTAGTTCTCAGTCGTGATTTTTCCTACTTAGGATACAGAATCCTAGGTATTTGTAAAATATAAACAAAGATTCATGATTTATAAATGCCATTTATTTATTGATTTCCTTTTTTTTTAATCCAAAAAGAAATGAGGTTGAAGAAGGGAGGTTTGAACCAGTTTTCAAAAAGTTGCTGGGGTGCCTGGCCTGTTGTGATCTCCCCTGACGTGCCCCCCAACCCCCAAACCCGGACCCTCCCAGTCCCCCCGCTCCTCCCAGCACCACCTGCATTTTATGGGAAGATGCATCTAGAGACAACGAAGCAAAACTTTGACACCTTTGGCACGTGGGTTAATTTGCGTCTAAAATAGGAATGTAAGATGATGTGGTTTATGCGTTTTGGTGTTCCTTTAAGTGACTTTTAAAAACATGCTTTTAAAAATGTGGCCTTGGTGTATACCAATGGTACATTTCATGGTACCAATCATGAATCTTTGTTTTGGGTTCAGTATTATGTAGTTGTTCATTGAGCTTGTGAGTTCTTGTTCCTTCTGGAGGCTCCTCTGCCCGCCCCCTACCCTGCCCCTGCTGATTCTGAAGCATGCTGTAGAGTGAGAAGTTGGAGATGTGGCCGTGTGGTACCCACCTTTGGACACCGTGGTGGGGAGGCCCACTCTCTTCTGGGGAAAGACACTGCCTGGGCCGCCCCATTGGAGGCCTCACAACCTGAACTGCATCTTCCAGGTTCAGCAGAAGATGGACAGGCACTCCTGGGGCCCAGCCGCTAATGGGCCCTTTTATAGGACACTTGGAGAAACATGGCTGGGTCCAGCCTCCGTGCACAGAGCCCTCGTCCCCCAGCTCGGTGGGGTGCTTGGGGCGCTAGGAGCCTGCTTGTGGGCCACCCCTCCTGGTTTAGGGGGGTGTGTGCTGGAGGAGGAGCAGATTCTTGATACAGTATCAAGTATAAGCCTGTGGCGGAATAAACGTCTGTAAATACATTTTTAAAGGGGATTTTGTTTAAGAAATCTGAATGAAAGCAAATCTATCGGGACATGCTAATAAGGAATGTCGGACGGAACCCAGTGCTCGAGACCTGTGTCTGCTGGACCCGTAGATCCTATGAGCAGACCCAGGGAAGGGTCTGCTGCCCCACCCCATCCCGCTCCGTCGGGCAGCACCACCTCCTCAGGGCACTTTCTCTGGCCTCGCCAGGGGCGTTTGCCATCCCTAGTGGGCATGACCAGACACTGCCTAAGATGTTGCTTCCTATTGTGTTTTATAAAATAGAGTGTAGTTTACATAAAAAGGAAACTTTTCAAAAACATTATCTACATGCAAGAGGGTAGGTGATGTAAATGATGTATTTTTTTTCATCTTTTTTGTTAACTGATTTGCAATAAAAATGGTCATCCAGGTTTTGCTAAACTTGGCTGAGGTGCTGGCTTGCTTCCTGAGAGAGGGAGGGCAGGCTGTTCTGCTGTGCAGTCACGCAGAGTCCCTGGCCCGTGAGTGCCGGGGTCACTGTCTCAGAGGCTGTACAGTGGCCCTGTCTGCCTGGGCCAGCCTCCATGCGGGGAGGCAGAGACGCAGCTGTGAGCAGGGCATGTACAGCCCTGTCTTGGGAGACTCAGCCACCCTGACACCAGGCTCCAGGCTTTCCCATCCATCAGTGCCTCAGAGGGTGGAGGCACCACATCCCCAGCCTGGGGGCCTTGGCAGGGAGGCTGCTGTAGGCAAGAGGGGCACAAGGAGGGCCTGGAGTAAGCCAGACCCTAGCATGCGAGCAAAGGGAGCCGCAGAAACATCTCAGCAGGGGCACCGTGGGGTTGACAGAGTAGGGGAGGTTCTGTGACCCCAGGGGGTGCTGGCTGAGCAACACCCTTCCCTGGGGAGTCCTGAGTAGGGCCATCAGGCACCCACATGGGCCTCCCCATCTCCCTCCTGCCTGGGCCTCTACCTCCACCTGGCCCCACCCCTTCTCTGCCTGACCACGCCCCTCCCACTGGCCCCACCCCCAGGCCAGTGGATTCAAACCAGGTCAACCAAGGGAGAATCTGATGACCTGCTTCTACTGCAAAGTGCCACCTGGACCTGGCCTATCCAAGCACAATTGTGAACCCAAGATTTCCTCACTAAGTTTGGATGCTTCATTCCTGGGACAAGTTCTGGAAAATGGAATATGGCAAATGTCTGAACTTTCACTTTCAGAGGGAGTGGACCCAGCCTGCATTCTGCCCGAAGAGCTCTCAGCACCCTGAAATCACACTCCTAGGTGTACACACAAAAGAAGCGAAACAGACCCAAACAAGTCCACGTACACATGTGCTCACAGCACCCAAGAGGTTGGAACAACCCAGACGCCCATCAGCTGACAAATGTGTGAACCAAATGTAGACCCACCCTCTGATGGTTAGTTTTAAGTGCCGAGTGGCTGGGCCCTTGAGCCAAGTGTGAGCGTGCCTCTGGATGAGATGAGCGGTGGAGCCTGTGGGTGAGTAAAGAAGACGCCCTCCCCCGTGTGGGCGGGCCCGTCCAGCCAGGTGGAGACCTGAACAGACCGAAAGGGTTGAGCAACAGGGCCGTCCTCCCGCCTGGCCGCTTGAGCTGGAGCGCCTAGCTCTTCCTGCCTTCAGATTTGGACTGAAGCCTTCTCTTCCTGGGTCTCAAGCTGCTGATCACAGACCTTGAGACTTAGCCTCTGTCATCATGTAAGCCAATTCCTTAGAGTGAGTCTCTCTACATATTTATACATCTTGTTGGCTCTATCTGGAGAACCCAGACCAAATACACATGTGATGGAATATTATTCAGCTATAAAAAGGAATGAAGCCCTGATACCTACTACAGCGTGGCCAAAACTCAAAAACATGCTAAGCGATAGAAGCCAGACACAAAAGGCCGCGTAACATGTGAGTGCATTTGTGTGAAATGCCCGAAGCAGGTAAACCCACAGAGACAGGAAGCAGATTAGTGGTTCCCAGGGTGGGGGCGGGGGGTGGCACAAAGTGACTGCCCAGTGGGTCAGGATGATTACTTTGGGGGATGAAATGTTTTGGAACTTGGTGGAGGTGACGGTTGCACACCATTTTTAACGCATTAAATGCCGCCGAATTGTTGGCTGTACAATGGTGAGTTTTATGTTCTATGAATTGTATCCCCATAAATTATTTTTTTGAAAAAAAGAACTCCCTGCAACCTGTCCTTCTCATCGTGGATGTACAGTCTGAGTCGGCCCGCTCTGCCACCCCACCCTCACAAGGACCGCCCGCCCAGCCACCATGCACCTCCCAGGGAGGACACAGCCCCTCCCTCGGACTAAGCTCAGCCAAGACACCCCTGACTTGGGGGTCTGTTATGGGCTGAATTGTATCCTCCCCAAATTCATAGGGTGAAGCCCCAGCTCCCAGAGCTAAGAATGCAGCTGTGTTTGCAGACAGGGTCTTTACAGAGGTGATTAAGTTAACATGAGATCCTAAGGTGGCTGTAATCCAGTGTGACTGGGGTCCTTATAAGAAGAGGTGATCAGGACACAGACACACAGAGGGACGATGTGAAGATGTGGGGAGAGGACGGCCAACTCCAAGCCCAGGAGACAGACCTCCCAGGACATCAGCCCCGCTGACACCCTGATCTCTGGCTTCCAGCCCCCAGAACTGTGAGAGACGAATTTCTGTTAAGCCACCCGGTCTGCGGCACTTCGTCATGGCAGCCCCAGCAGACTAACACAGCATCCCAGGTCACCCCTCTCAAGTGCCCAGTGCGTGTCCTAGGGGCCACATCCCCAGCAGCTGCAGCCAGCTGGCCCCGGTGTCTGCCATGGTTGCCTGGCCCTCCTGGGGGGGGGGCACATCCCAGGGGTCCGACTTGCACTTGTCAACACGCAAAACAAAGGAGGCCGACACGTGGCTGCCAGTCCACCCTCTTGACTGCTTGGGGGAGGGGGCACCTTCCTCCAGGACTTGAGGATGGTTTAAAGCAGCACCATCCAACAGAAATGGCATGCAAGCCACATGTACAATTGCAAATGTTTTAGTAGCCACAATTAAAAGTAAAAAGAACCAGGTGAAGGTTATTTTAATAATACCTCTTAGTTAACCCAATATATCCCAAATATCATCGCCTCAGCCTGTAATCGACATAAACAGTTAATGGGATACAGTTTAGATTCTGGCTTTGTGGGGGAGGGGAGCGGGGAGTATACTGTGACTTTGAAATCCAGTTGGGATGAGGAGGGTAATAGCTCAGGGGTAGACTGTGTGCTTAGCATGCATGAGGTCCTGGGTTCAATCTCCAGTACCTTCATTAACAAAATAAATAACATAAATAAACCTAATTACCTCTTCCCCCGAAAAAAAAATTTTTGAAAGAAGAGAAGGCTATGGCACACCTCTGTCCTGCCACAGCTCAGGTGCGTGATCACCATGTGTGGGTCAAGGCCATCACGTTGGATGCTCGGATTGAGATGATCAAAGTGTCCAACTTCTCAGCACTGCAGGGAAACCTAAGGTGTATCACTGGCATGGTGTGCTGCTCCACATTGTCCTGGACTGAGCCCCAGATGTGGCTCTGCACCCCTCTAGCCATAGCAGAGAGGGGACCGATGAGCCAGGAGGGACAGCATCAATGCCCAGATTAAACAGACTGGCAGGGCTACCCCCTGCCAGAAAGCCAGCAGAGTGTCGTGGGTGCTGGTGCTGCTCAGAGGGCCATCGCCAGCTGCCCGCTTTCTGAACATCGGCAGGCGAGGCTGTGCTTAGCAGGGAGCTGGCCTCCACTCTGGTGGGACTTTGTATCTCATCACGGGCCAATGACAAATTGTTCGTGGACCAGCCCCATCCAGAAACCATGGCCAGGAGCCCTGCTGGAGAGGGCAGAGCTGTCAGTGGACAGATGATGATGGAGAGCTTTGTATGGTCACTTCTCATGATGGGGTCCTGGGCATCACAGCCAAGGATTATTGTGTCAAAGTAATTCAACCAGAAACCTAAGTGATGTGGTCCAGCTTGATCCCATGGCCAATGGAGACCTGGAAGCACTGTGTCCCAAAGGGTGTTTGGTGGATTGTTGATGGGTTTGGGAAGCCCTAGGTCAGGGGATCCCTTTCTGGAGGACTCCTTAGACCTCTGAAACAATCGTGTGGACTGTCAGTCTCTAGGAGGGAACGCATGTGCACTGGTTTCCAAAGGAACTCACCGTTACCATGATTGAGGCGTGGCGTCAGTTGGGCACAGTGGGGAAACGCTACTCCAAGGAGTCGTGGAGTCTGCCTGCTGGGCTTCCTAACCATGTTCCTGTGTCTCCACCTGCCCCGTTGCAGCCGTTGCACCTTAGGCAGGTGACTCAGTGTTTCCGAGACTCAGTGTCTCAGGCATTAAGCAGGAGCTCTCTGAGCAAACCTCCTGGGCTTGTGGCGGGGATGGGACCTGCAAGATTGCTGACATGGAGCTCCTGGAACAGGGCACAGACTCAGAAATAGCACAGAGTTCTAAAATGTGTTCTTCACGCTGTCCCTGCAGACCCGTGCGCTCGCTCAAGCCAGGCAGCAGTCCCACTCAATAGATGCTGCCCCCAACCCCGTTCAGGACAGAGAAACCCAGGCTCAAGGAGGTGGTGGTCTGCACCGCAGAAGCATTGCTTATGCGTAACAACAGACCTGCCGTGTGAAGGGCCTGAGTTACATTTTATACTTTTTCACATGTGACCCATTCCTGAACCACGTGGTGCATGATGCGTTACCAATATTCGTTATCAATCTATAGTTCTCTAGAGATTCACAATAACTACTACAAATCTCCGTACACCTGAGAGATATTGCGGGTTTGGGTCCAGGCTCTGCAATAAAATGAGTATCACAGTAAAGGAAGTCAAAGTTTTTGGTTTCCCAGGGCATATAAAAGTTGTGTTTACACTAGACTGCAGTCCATTAAGTGTGCAATAATAGCATTAAGTCTAAAGAAACAACATATACACCTTAATTAAAAAATGGGAACAGTGGGGAGGGTATAGCTCAGTGGAAGGGCACATGCCCAGCATGCACGAGGTCCTGGGTTCAATCCCTGGTACCTCCGTTAAAAAAATAATTAAATCTAATTCCCCGCCCCCAAAAGCAATACAGTAACAGACAGTAACTAATAGCAGTAAATCAGGCCGTTTTCCTCTCTTGGACTGGCCCACTCCCAGCTCCCGGGAGTGTACTATATTTCACTACTATGTTTTCACTTCACTAATAAAAGTCCTGTTTATATCAAAAAAAAATTAGTAGTAACATCAAAGCTCACTGGTCACAGATCACCATGACAAACATAGTAATAATGAAAAGTTTGAAATATTGTGAGAATTACCACACCGCGACACAGAGACATGAAGTGAGGGCATACTGTTGGAAAAACAGCGCCCATAGACTTGCTCAATGCGGGGTTGCCAGA